TATGACCAAGGAGTCCTTACGAAGGAATCTGCACTACGGTAATATTACTACGGGGTCCTTGACAAGGACTCCATCAGAAGGGCCCCCTACTAAATCCCAAGGAAGAAACCTGAACCAAGGATACATCGGAAAGGAATAGATATTAGAAAATCCGTCAGCGGGAGTCCTGAAGAAGGAATCTGAACTGAGCAACCCGTACTAAGGAACCTGTAGAAGGAATCCGTACTAAGAGATATTTACCAAGGCGCCATTTCAGAAATCGAAAATCAACATCCTGAACCAGCAACCTGTAATACTGACTCCGTCATCAGGAATTAAAACTCATGAGTTCTAAAGAAGGAACCCTTACTAAAGAATTCGTCAGACGGAATACCCAATAAGGAATTCATTCTTCATACGGAGTGCTCAATAAGGAACCCTTTGATAAGGAATCTTGACTAGAGAACCCTTGGCCAGAACCCGTAAATAAGTAATCGTTCCTCCGGAACCCTTCATGCGAAATCCTTGCAAAGGGCATCTTAAGTAAGAAGCCCCACATACAGATCCCCTCGCAAGGAATAGGGATTGAGGGTTATGAACTAAGGAATCTAAACCAAAAAATATCGACTGAAAGATTATTAATAAGGAGATCGCTGTAAGAAATCTGTAATGCGGAGCCACTAAGAAATTATGAAGAAGGGTTCTCAACTAAGGTGCCCCACGAAGGAATATGCAATAAGGAATCCTTCTTGAAGAATGCGAATTCACCCTTACAAACGAGTCTGTTGTGCTTAAACAAAAAAAAAATGAGTCCTTCATGCGCAATTTGCACGCAGGCAACCCTAATGGCCAAGCGTCCTCACCCTCGGTTCAAGAAAACGCTGTGCATTTGCTGTTCATGTTGTTGTGTTGGTCCGGCATGCACGGAAACACCTTGTTGGGGTTTTGCAAATTCAGATTTAACTACTGGGAGAAAGGCCGCGGCGAGCACCAGGGCCTGCAACACCAAAGGACAAAAAACAACAATGCACAGTGTTCCGTGGTGTCGCAAACCCAAAAACCAAACAAAACAAACACACACAGCATCTCCTTGCACCAAGGGCGTCATATACTGCTTGTTCTTGGTCTGGGATGCAAGGAAACACTGTGTATTTGGTTTTTGTTTTGTTTTGGTTTCGCAGGCGGCAGAGGGTTGTGGCGAGCACTGGGGCTTGCAAAACCCCCAAACAAACAAACAATGAACAGTGTTTCGTGGTTCCACAAATCAGAAAACACAAAAAAACAAGCGTTTCCTTGCACCAGGGGCGCCAACTACTTTGCTTGTGTTGTTGGTTGTCAATTTCAGAAGCAAGTGTTGCGAAGGAGGCCACGGCGAGCGTTGGGACCTGCAAACCCCCCCAAAACATGCTTCGCGGCTCCACAAACCAATATAATTTAACAAGAACCAGATACACAGCGTTTCCTTGCAAGAACGGCGCCAAGCATTGTCTGGTATTGGTTCTGTAATGCTACAGAGAGGAAGAGGAGGAGAGGAGGCGAGGAGGAGGAGGAGGAGGGGGAACAGGAGGAGGAGGAAAAGGAGAGGGGGAGGAGACAGAAGAGAGAGGAACACGAAGAAGACACAGAGAAGCAGAGAGAGAGAGAGAGAAACTTAAGATCACAGGGGGCGGCCATCCATCTCTATATATATATATATATATATGTATGATGTGTATATACACATACATAGACAAGTACATGTAGATGCTCATACACATCTACATATACATATGCATCAACCTTTACATACACACATGTACATACATACGTATATATCTATATGCACAGGGATGTACACATTTACATGCTTATACCATTTCCCACATATACATATATATATACAACTATACATCGCGCCCGTGTGTCCAGCTCTCCCTCCCTCCCCCTCCTCCCCCGCCACCCCCCTTCCCCCTCCCCCCCCACTGCCTCCCCCCTCCCGCTCCCCCCTTTTCTCTCCGCCCCCCCCCTCGCCCTCCCATCTTCTCCCCCCTTTCCCCCCCCCTTCTCGAGCGAGGATGTCTCGACCGAGAACGCCAGAACGGGACGCGACCGGCGAATCCGGCGCATCTGGCGCAGCGACGGAAATTATCCACGGAGGGCGGTTGGCGGACCCATGTCCTCGCGCGCCGAGGGTCAGGACGACGTGAGTTCACAAGACGAACTCCCTCAAATTAAAATGATGCTTGCTGTTGTTGCTGCTCCTGCTGCTGCTACTTCTTGTTGTTGTTTTTGTCGTCGTCCCACTCGCGACCAGGCCCGCGACCCACCCGCGACTCGCCCGCGACCCACCCGCTACCCATCCGCGACCCTCTCGCGACCCACCTGCTACCCATCTGCCACCCACCCGCGACCCACCCTGCGACCCACCCGCGACCCACCCCGCGACCCCCCCGCGACCCGCCCGCGACCACCCCTCGACCCACCCCGCGCCCGCCCCCTCACTCTTTTTCGCAACTGCAGGGTGCTACATGCTTTATCCCGGAGTGCGGCGGTACTCCCATGCGGCCTTCGGCCCCTGGTGGCCCTCGCCGCGCCCCAGGGTCGTCAGGAAACGACTGAGGATGAAAAGCCGGCCCTGCGGAAGGAAGGGTCGGGACTTGTGGTGGGCTCGTATTCGGAGGCCTCCTAGATTCGGGAGCGGCCAAGGAGGGGGGTGTCCAAGAGGGGGGGGTGCAAATCATGACCGGCGGCACGTGCGCGGCCCAGCGGGGGGGGGCAGGGACGTGATGGAATGAGAAGAGGCGCCATGAAATCTGAGGAAATATCATGGCCCCCGCCATGATGTCCGACCCCCCTAGTCATCACCCCCCCCCCCGCTCTGCCGCCCCCGACTCCGCCTCTCTCTCTCTCTCTCGAGGAGGAGGAGGAGGAGGAGGAGGAGGAGGAGGAGGAGGACGACGAGGAGGCGGAGGGGCAGGAGGAGGAGGAGGCCCCCCTCTTTGCCGCTCCCGATAGATGGGGTCAGCGTAGACGGGGTCGGAGGCTCGCGCCCCATCGCCGATGCGCACCGTCGATGCATCGTCGACGTCGGCGATGCACCGGCGGCGTCGACGCAGAGCGGATCGGGCTCCACATCGAGGCGCATCGGCGATGCATTGGCACTGTGGCGCGATCGTCCGACCCCATCTATACTCCGATCCCATCTAGGAGGCCTAAAGGCCTAAATTCTTGAAGCAATCCAGGCGTCGGACCTCTGGAGGTGGAGGAGGAGGGGGAGGAGGGCGGAGGAGGAGGGGGGGGGATGTTTGGCTGCTGGCGCCACGCTGGCGAACCCAGCCTCGCACTGCCGTCTGTAGCCCAGGAGGACGGGCGGGCACACCAAAAAGGTTCTCCACGCGCCCGCGCCTACTCCTCCTCAGCCTGTGCGCGGGGTGCGGGAGCCGTGGGGGGGGGGGGAGGAGGAGGAGGGGGGAGGAGGAGAGGAGGAGGAGGAGGGGAGGAGAGGAGGAGGAGGAGGAGGAGGAGGAGGAGGAGGGAGGAGGAGGAGGAGAAGGGGGGGCCGCGGAGGAGAAGCGGAGGCCTCAGGGGAGGGGGGCCCGAGGCCCCCGTGGTCGTGGGCCACGGGGCGGCCCCCAGCAGGCAAGCGCGCTCCACCGCTCGCAAAATAACTGCTACGGCCTGGCTCCACCGGGGAAGATTGAAGGCGCCCTAGGACACACAACTAAATACACACAAATAAAAATAGTCCCCATATTTTCCTATATGTTCTTTGATTTTGTCTTCCCCACCACTTCCCATATGTTTCCGTATTTTCTGGGGAATTGACGATTAATTGTGTCTGTGTGTCTCTTTTCCTCCTGAAAGATGTACGACCCATGCTTACCAGCCTCGAACGTATCCCTATCCCTAAGATTGACACGCCAAAAGGCGATGACAATCTTAGGGATTCGCCGTCAAAAACCAAGGAAATCCCTAATATTGACATCGTGGGGAGGAGGTGCCCAGCATAGGGATAGGGATATGTTCCAGGCTGGTAAAATACATCGAGACGGACATGTGTTTAGTCCCGAACGTTTTGCGAGTAGTGGACCGCGCCCGGTGACTCGGGGGGGGCGGGCTTCAAGGCAAGCGGACGGGCGGGCCTGGGCAAGCGGAGCATCGGTCCCGCCCCTCGACGTCGTGTGTTTTTGCTTGACAACGTCGACCCCCGGAGGTCTCGACCCAGTTTGGCGGCGCGCACAAGGGGGGCAAGGGGGGGGCGGAAAGTTTCGTAGGAGGAGGCTGCCTCCTAGAAGGCGCCGGCCGCCCTTCTAAGAAGTCAGGGGCGCGCCGCTTTGTAGAAACACCCCAGCAGCTTCTGTCTGAGAAGCACGGAACAACATTTTAGAAACAAAAGCGGCTCCTTCGAAGCATGCTACCCGTTTCTTTACTTGATGAGAGAGAGAGAGAGAAAAAAAAAAAAAAAAAAAAAAAAAAAAAAAAAAAAAAAAAAAAACGCCAGGAACAGCTTCTAAGAAGCAGCCGCCAGCTTCTTAGAAGGGGCGCCCACGCCTTCTAAGAAGGGGGAGGTGCTTCTAAGAAGCACCCCCCCATCCCGCCACCCCCCCTGCGCGTGGCTGACCTCTCCCCAGGAACGGCGCTCCATTCCGAGTAAGATTCGTTGACGGCTCCCCAGGCCCAGCAAGAGCTCCGAGCTGGGTCCGAAAATAACCCAGAAGCCTCCGCCCCGACTTCTCGTGGCCCGAGGGGGTCTGGAGGGGGCGGACGGGGCGGGCGGACCCCGACGGACGGGTCTGAGAAGGAGGAGGAGGAAGACGCGCAGGAGGAGGAGGAAGACGAGGAGGAGGAGCAGGAGGAGAAGAAAGAGGAGGAGGAGAAAGAGGCGGAGGCGGAGGAGGAGGAGGGAAGGAAGGAGACTGATGAGGAGGAGGAGGAGGAGGAGGAGGAGGAGAAAGAGGAGGAGAAAGAGGAGGAGGCGAAGGAGGAGGAGGAGGAGAAGGCTCCCCAGCGAAGGTTCTACAGGGGCGCGGGACGGGGAGCACGCGGAGCCGAGCTCCAGCCCGTCCTCCTCGCGCACGAGGACGGTGGCCTCTCTCATTCTCTCGCGGCAGGCGCTCTCCGCTCCTCGCCCTCTCTCTCGGCCCTCGCGCAGCGGCGGCAGCACTCCACGGCGCTGCACGCTGCACGCGCAGGAGCTCCCTCGCAAGGGGAGGAGGAGGAGGAGGAGGAGGAGGAGGAGGAGGAGGAGGAGGAGGAGGAGGAAGAGGAGGAGGAGGAGGAGGAGGAGACGACGACGACGACTAGGAGGACGACGAGGAGGAGGAGGAGAGAGGAGGAGAGGAGGGGAGGAGGAGGAGCAGGAGTAGGAGGAGCAACAGGAGGAGGAGGAGGAGGAAGGAGGAGGAGAAGGATAAGGAGGAGGAGGATGAGGAGAAAGGAAGGGAGGAGGCGAAGGAGGAGAAGTTCGGGCACCGTGCACAGGAGGGCAGGAGGAGGAGGACGAGGAGGAGGAGGAGGAGGATATTTTTTTGATATTCGCTTCGGGGCTGAACTAAAGCTCAAGCACGTTCCGCGGACAGCAACTGACCCCCAGTCCAAGCCTGGGGCGTTGCCCATTCCGAGTCGGCGCCAAGAACCCTACCCCAGGAGGAGGAGAGGAGGAGAAAGACATGCATGAAACACAACTCGCCCGGGTTAAACGCTGCCCACCTTCTAATGGGCCGCTCCCAGGCCAGAAAGAAACAATGCAGAACTTCCCCAGAACGTGGCGGAGAATCCCATCCCACCCACCAGTGACCCCCTCCCCAGACAAGAGCAATCCCTGAACGCCAACTTGCAGGTTCGGACTTTCGAGCATGGTGAGACCATGGCAAGACCCGCCAGGGAAGGCCACTTGCTTTCGCCTGTGACCTGGCTGCCAATTCCTTGAACTGTCTGGAGGGAGGAAGGAGGGAGGGGGGAAGACACTCGGACAAGGGAAGGGGAAGGAGATCAAGACTGCACAGCACTGGGGTAAACTTTCTTCCCACATACTAATGGGAGTCCCCTGGCAGAGCGAGACCTCCGTTCCCCAAAGGGAAGAGAGAATACTAGGGGATTACTTCGCCAGGCTTTCCTGGGCCCCTGAAAAGTAAAATAAACTGGGCTGAATGCAGCTGCCCAACTAGCGCATGAAGAAGAAACTGCAGGTAAACGACCTGCTTCACAGTTCTGCCGATCTGGCCAAGGAAACAAGACGTGAAGGTAAAAGAACGCTGGGTAGCTGACAACTGTCCTACCCAAACGAAAGGACCAACACAAAAGGATTCTACCAACACCTGTAGCCGATGAATTATGCACACTAAGCCAATACTCAAGTTGCCATTTAGCCCAAGATGCAACAAACCTTCTGCCGCTGAAAGAAAGTTGGATACTACCAACATGTTTGCTCCAATTACTTTGAAGCAGTGGAGTCTGAGCTGGACCTGCTCCTCCTAGGAACAGGCGCACTGCCTGAAGCGGCGTTTTGATTCTTAACACGATTGAGCTCCTCCTGGAGTGTCTCTAGCTTCTGCTGGAGGTGCTTGATCTTGATATCCTGGAGACCACACTTTAACTCCAGCAGATTTGAACTGGACGGGGCAGAACCACTGGAAGGGGCGGCATCGCTGTGCCCAACCTTTGCACGCTTACTAGCGTGCTCTGGAGAAGTCGAACGAGGACTGTCGACATGATTACTGGCAGAAGGTGAGTCGGAGACGCTATCGCTGTCCAAAACTGGAAGCTTGTCTTCCTTCTTGGTGATCTGAACCTTTACCTTAGGCTCCACATTGAATTTCTCGCATGCTGCCAAATAAAGAAACTGTTCTTGCCCTTTGTACTTGTCCAAGAAATGATCCAACTGATCCAGCATCTGCGGTTCGTACTGCTGGAAGACATCCGAGATCAAAAGCTTGAACTGATGCCTGACGTTGAAATCCTGGCCCTGCTCTCTGTCGGCTTCTACCTGACGAGCGGCCTTATCTTTGGGATTGGCCTTCGCTGCCACAAGAGGCGGCGGTGGCTGCGTCTTCTCACTGTCGGCTTCTACCTGAACAGTGGTCTTGTGTTTGGACTGAGACTTCCCCCTGCCAACTACTACCTCAGCCTTGATCCTTTCTGTGCGACCAGACTTCGCTGCTGATGGTGGTGGCGGAGGTGGGGGAAGTGGCTGGGAACTCTTCCCATGCCACGGAAGGCCGCACTTACATAACGGCTGAGAAGCAATTCTATTAGGCCAGATCCAACAGTCTGGTCTGCCACGCGGGCAAAGTAACTTTGAATGCGAAACAACAGGAGCTCCTACTCCTTCTTTGCGAACCCAAGGCGTCCTGGAAGACATGGCGGAAACTGCGGCGCGTGGGTGTAGGAGAAAAGGAGGGGGCAGGCTGCTCCTGCCCAGCTGGCTTGAGCGGTGGCAACTTGAGCCAAAATGGCTTGAGCCAAAATGGCTACGGGGGAGGAGGAGGAGGAGGCGGGGGATGATGATGAGGAGGAGGAGAACGAGGAGAACGAGGAGGAGGAGGAGGAGGAGGATGCGGGGGATGAGGAGGAGGAGGAGGAGGAGGAGGAGGAGGAGGAGGAGAAAGAGGAGGAGGAGGAGGAGGAAGAGGAAGGGGATTCTGACAATGTGTTGTCTCTGGCGGCCCTCACTTGGCCCTGGGACCCTCAAAAAAGGACGCAGGATGAACAACCGGTGGTCGGGAAGGGCCAAGACCTCTGGGGAACCACATCGTGGCAAACATATGCTCAGAGGAACAACACGTGGCATAACCATGATCAACTTTCGCAGGTCCGCGCGGATTTCTCGGTTCGGCGCTGGACCCCCCCTCCTTGGCGTGCGGAGTGCGCCAGGGGCGGCGCCGGAGGCGCCGCCTGTGGGCTCCAGCGCCGATCCGAGAAATCGGCGCGGACCTCCGAACAGATATGAAGTGGAGTGAAGTTTCGAGCTAGCACTTGCGATCTACTAGATGCGGTGGCCACACCGTCTTGAGTTTTGACGCTCCAATTTACGTGAAACGCTTGCAGCGGCAACTCGCTTCAAATGTCAGGCTGGGCCTCGTCATTCTCCCGACGGCCCCGTCAGGCGAACCCGGGTTCCCCGAACCCAAATCTTACGTCTCCCCGGGCCCATGTCGATCCTCTCTCCTCCTCCTCCTCCTCCTCCTCCTCCACCCTCCTCCTCCTCCTCCTCCTCCCCGCCTTCCCCCTCCCCTTCCTCCTCCTCCTCCTCCTCCTCCTCCTCCTCCTCCTCCTCCTCTCCTCCTCCCTCTTCTCCTCCTCCTCCTCCTCCTCCTTCCTCCTCCTCCTCCTTCTCCTCCCTCCTCCTCCTGCTCCCCCCCCCCCTTCTCTCTTATCCTCCTCCTCCTTCTCCTTCTCCTCCTCCCCCTCCTCCTCCTCTTCCTCCTCCTCCTCCTTCTCCTCCTCCCCTTCTCCTTCTCCACCCCCTCCTCCTCCCTCCCCTCTCTCCTCCTCCTCCTCCTCCTCCTCCTCCTCCTCCTCCTCCTCTTCCTCCTCCTCCTCCTCCTCCTCCTCCTCCCCAAACCCGAACGTGGGTTTGCTTGAACTCTTGTTTCCCGAATGGCGACGGGGAGTCTGGGGGCGCGGCGTGAGCCCCGCAGACCAAAGGGTTGCCCTCCGGGGAAAAGCCGGAACTCCGCTGGCTGGCCCGCGCTCTTTACGGGCACAGCACTCCGAGCTGCTCCACAGGGAGCGCCGAGTGCGGTCGGGCACTGCCGCTTGGCGTCTCGCCGCGGCGGCCCCGGCGATACGCTATGCCATGCTCGCGGACAGCGTGTCGCTCCGCTCCGCATGGCGGGGTGCTCGGAAGGCTCGGACCTCGATCCTCGATCATGCTCCTCCTCCTCCTCCTCGATCCTCGATTCTCGTTGATCCTCCTTCTCCTCCTCCTCCTGAGACGCTGACGCCTGCGACTGGCAAGCGGACAGCGCGTCGAGCCGAAGCGCGGTATGGGGCCGAACCGGCGGAGCGACGCGCTGTCCAAGAAGAGGTCCCGACCGCAGGGAGCGAGGAAGTCGGCTGGTCACGGCGGGCCGCGGCCACGACGCGGCCGAAGGAGCGGCCCAGAAACCCGAGCCTCTGCGGAGCCCACAGTGGTCCTGAGGCCAGCGTTTCTGGGGACACTTCGATCGGGGGGGATGGGCAGAACCCCCTTTGCGTAAAACGTGGTCTGGTGAAAACGACCTCGGGCCCAAGCCTGGCGGGCGCAAGCCTGGAGTTTGACGGCCACGGCGCCCTCCCGAGAACCTAAAACGGACAATTCACTAATTGAAGTGTCCGGGTACGGGTAGGGTTTCTGTCCACCCCCGATTCGATGTCCAAAGCAACCGAATGGGGAGGACGCCAGCTCCGAGCGGGCCCTGAAAACGACAGGGCAATATGGTTACTGGATCCGTGTTGCAATATTTTGAACTGGTTCCGTTGCACTAGTCCTCTCTGCTCCGGCACCGGAGCATGCATTCACCGTTTCCAGCATTTCTTGTTGAAAACTATGTTCATGCTTCCGGAACATATTCTTTCGGGAGGGAGACATGGCAGCCAGAAAATGCCCGGCCGTTTCCAGGGCCTGAGCACCAAGAGAGCTTCAAAACACTTCCAGAGACGCTCAAGACAGCCCCAGAGGGCCCCAGTAGGCTCCCTAGAACGCCTCCGACAAGCTAAAAACCTTCACGAACCGACGGGAAATCGACGAGTGCTGCCTTCTCGCCTCCTCCTCCTCCTCCTCCTCCTCCTCCTCCTCCTCCTCCTCCTCAAGGCATCTGGGTCAGGAGCGCCCGCACAGGTGCCCAGGGCGACAGGCGCCCAGCTCCCACACCACCTGCATGCCTCTTCTCAGAGGCATCCCTCTCACATCTTACCTCGTTTCCGATGGCTTCTAGATGTCTCAGTGTGGGCTGCTGGCTCCTGCTCGTGCGCGTGATGGTCGGCAGCCGTCTTCGAGTGCTCCAGTATAACCCCTTGCACGCACCCAGCGGGGAGAGGCTCACAGCGATCGCACAGGCCTGCCGAGCCTACGACTTCGTGTGCTTGAACGGCACGACTGCCAAGGGT